ATATATATATATATATATATATATATATATAATATATATATATATATATATATAAAAATATGGAGCAGATAATACGTATTACTACATATATGCTAGGCAGCATAAATTAGTCCAATGAAGCAGAGCCAGAATGGACATTGGTTGTCTATTGCCAGGGTGTCTACGAAAATACATCGTCTTGCAGGCAGGGGAAGAGGAAATGCAGCATCTTGGGTTGGAGTTGAGCATGCCAGCCCTGTGTCTTTCTCTAAAGACACTTAATATCATGCTGGGACAGAGACTGGCTTCTTGGTACATATTTATATAGTGCCTCATATGATGCAGCACTGATCTTTGATTGGGCCCATAATTACTTATTAAATACTACTAATGATAACGGGTGGAAGGGGTTTGCTATTGACTTCAGTGAGACTTAGGATGTTTCACTTTGTACAGAAATTCCATGCATATGGCTTTTCATTGCCCCTGTAGTTACCTTCTGAAAATGAAATGCAAGGACAACTCTAAAATAACTTATTAAAAACCAGGGGAGGACACACTGCAGTCTGGAATTATGAATATACTTCATGAGGACCATATAATGTGTGTTTATTGTAAATGCCATAATAATGTTCGGGATTGTACAACATGCAGCCAGTGTTGGTCAAAATGTTAGTCTGTAACTCAACATTCTTGTGTATGTTTGTTTTATTGTGCTAAAATGTATTTGGCATAGTGTAAACCTGAATTGAATCTTGGAAACAAAATATAATTCCTTTTAAAGTGAGATTCCTGTATTCCAGTGGTTTCCTTTGTAAACAAGTGGTAAAATGGAAAAAACAGGGTACTGTAAAATAAGTACTACTGATCTTACTCCACATATGGGTAGTTGCTAGGATTTTATTTTGACGCAAGGGAAAATGTTAGGCTGTACACAAGATATTAGGCTATGACAATGCAGAATGTTTATAGCTAGACAGTTACATTGTAAGTAAAGTAATATCCTATTGCAGATGATATCTTCGTAGATAGCAAAAGCCCTGATGTCTTACCCCTTATTTCAATGTTTCTAGAGTCCAGAGAAGTGCAGTAAGAATTAATTTGCTTCAGTCACCTTAACTTTAGAGCAAGGATTATTCTAAACAATAAAACCTGATGATAATTTGTGTAACCTTCAAAAAAAAGTACAGCGCTACTGATGCCTGGCTGTCACTGTTCTGTACATATTCAGAATGTGACTTTTTTACAAACCACCAAGACAACTAAGTAATTAAGAAGCAATTAACCAAACAAAACATACACGCTATATGGTGGAGCTTTTATGAAAATGGCAACAGAACATATTTGTTAAAACTAGCACATTACTTTTTAATTCAAATGATTGAAGGCTGTATCAGACTACATATGGATCTTATTGACAGCATGTAGGTTTAAAGAGGAGGCAATAGTGAGTATGGTGGGTGTGCCAAAGATAGCCCAATGTGGCGCTTAGCTGCTACAAGCTCTGAGAAGCAGAAATGCTTACTCTGTATAACAATTAAAATCCTGTAAGAAATGGTGGCCACAAAGTGAAAGACAGAAAACACAATGGGAATAGTAATTTTCAACTTGGTAAATGGTTAAAAGGACTGGATTTTAATGGGAGTCATTTTGGTTGGCTCAGTGAATCTCCTAATGTGATCAGATGACTAAAAAATGGGACAAAAATACTGCTAAGAATGACCGCTAGAGATGGGACACAAGAGGGGGAGTACTTTGAATTACTACAGTGAATTCTATCCCAGTTTTCTGACTTGAGGGTCTCGCCTACATGCTCAGGGTCTAACTGATCACCATATTTGGGGTTTGGAAGCAATTTCCCCCTAAGTCAGATTGGCAGAGATGCTAGAGGTTTTTTGTCTTCCTCTGCCATGTGGGGCATCGGTCACTTTCTGGTTTGAACTAGAATAAATGGTGGGTTCTTGATAAGTTGAAGACTTTTAAATCAAGATTTGAGAACTTCAGTAACTTCAGCCAAAAGTAATGGGCCTACTCCAGGAGTGAGTGGGTTAGGTTTTGTGGCCTGTGATGTGCAGGAGGCCAGACTAGATGATCCTGGTGTCTTCTGGCCTTAAAGTTTGAGTCATAGAGACCAAACACTTACTAAGTTTCAGAAATGGAGACCTAAACATCAGCAGACATATCTATGGTAGTTAGGATAAAATAATGGATATAAGCCCTTATGCTTCAAGGCATACGCCAACTATTAACTGATGGTTAAGACGTTTCTCCTATGGGCAAATTATTTCACATGGGTCCATAAAAAGATTTCTTGCAACCAGTACTAGCCATTACTGGAGACAGGCTACTGAACTAGATGGACCACTGGTCTGATTCCAGAGGTCCTATGTGTAATTGTAATTTACATCTATTTACTGCTGTAACTCACCCAAAAACAGTTTGCTTTGGACTTTCACAGAACTCTTAAATTTATAACCTATATATGTAAACAGCTGTTTTAAGATGGTTGTCTAGTCATGTAGCCACTTGGTAAAAGTATCTCCTACAGTTTATTACAAATACATTGTCATGATTTACAACCATTTGTTTCTACTAAATACTTTGGAAAGGAGCGAGAATGAAGATAGATTTAACTTCACAGCCAAAGATGGTACGCATCTTCAATTTCTAGTATTACTAAAAACAGCAAATATTTGTAATAAAAATAATATAAAGTGAGCAGTGTATACTTTGTATTCTGTTGTAATTGAAATCAATATATTTGAAAATGTAGAAAAACATCAAATATTTAATAAATATCAATTGGTATTCTATTGTTTAACAGTGCGATTAAAACAGATTAATTGTGATTATTTTTTTTAATCGTGTTTAATTTTTTTTAGTTAATCGCGTGGGTTAACTGCAATTAATCGACAGCCCTATTTTTTAGTATCAATGGACAATAAAATGTGCTAGAGAACTAAAAATTCTTGCCCTACTAGGTATTTAATGCATCAGTATTTTCTACAATCATCAGTCTAAGAGATATGTGCAATAAATTACCTGTTTGTCTCTAGGTAGTAAGAATAGGTCAAGGTATTACCCATCCCCATAATTTGTTTTTCTCAGCAATACTCACCTTTTCATTGTAGGCTGGGTTATGTTATTTACCTTCAAGAAAAGTATTTGTACATCAGCTTAACTACTTGAAATGATACATTTAGTGCGTCTGATGCATTTTTCTATGTAAATACCTAAAATATTACTATTTTCCTTGCCAACCAGCCTATTTTCCTCAGCAATAGCACTGAAAAATTAAAACAAACCTCTTTACTAGAATCACCTTTACATGACATTTATTAAATATTTATAAGTGACAGTTTTTCTGGATTGGTATGAATTGATGTAATCATTGATGTAAATCAGAATTTTATTTTCCTATTCAAATCCAGTGTTCATTTTGAATTGTGTTGCACTTTAGTGCTTATTCCCTGAGTAAAATACATTTTATTTGTGACAAAGTCCAGATGAGTATACTTGTACCTGATTAAGCTTTCAAGAAAGTACACTAAAATGGTGTCTGAAGGATCATCACATAGTGTTTGGATGACAGCCATTCCATCAAAGATTATTGCATCATTCTCTGGAACATGGTTAATAAGGTGTTCTCCACCTTTGGATTGAAGAAGATAGAGCAGAGATGACTTGTTGGTCTTTGCCAGAGTATCATCAGCACTAGCAAGAGGGTAGGAAACTGCTCCCAAAGAGTGGCTCAAGATTTCCCTGAGATCATACAAGAAGTCTTGCAAAAAGAGTTTCTTGTCATTATGAGGGATCATGTCTTTTCCAGGTACTTTTGCTTTTGGTTTGACTTGATCACTGAATGTTTTCTGGCTTTTGATGGGAGAAGAAAATGTCCTGAGTAGCAGAAAGCAGACACAGGTAAAATTGCACTGATGGACTACTTGAACCGCAATCATATAATTTGTAATCTCACTAGTGGCTACAACACTTAGACACTTGTCCATCTTGAGGAGCATCAAAAGGATTGATCATGCATTCAGTAGTGCACAGAATGCTCATTATAGCTGTCTCATCACCCTGAATTTTTGTGCTGACAAGATCTTTCTTTTTCCATGCCTCTGGAGTCATGCCTGCCGTCACTTCACGCTATCTCGTTATAGCAGCTCTTTTATGTTCTGACAAGATCCAGCGATAAACTGCTGAATGGCTTTGCGTCAATCCAATCAAACCACCTTTTGCTTTTGAAACTTTATTGTAGGTTTATTCAATTGTCTGGTCACATGCAATTTAAGAGAACCCAGGTCCACTTTGATGTTGGGCTGTCCACTGTCCTCAAGCGCTGAGTTCTGTGTAACATTCTGAGTGTGTGATGGGGAGTTTCTCCATTTCCAGTCAATATGATAGACAAACTATACCAGGTATCTTCTGATTGTAAGAGAAGAACCAGAGCTTCATGAAGCGTATAACTGAAAGATGCAACTCCCAGTCAGACGCTTGGGTTGCTCTCACAAAAGGGAGCAAGATTTGCACCATGTTTATGTAAGAGCTCCAGAAGGCAAACATTGGGTTCTCTTTGCTCTTTCTCTGGACAAAGTCTTCATATTTCATGACCACATTGATGTTCTGTGTAGAGCGGCTGAAATCACCAAACAAGTCAACAGGGAATGCTAGTTTCATTTTCTTTTAATGACCTCTAGGTACTTATCTGCT